ACGTTCATTACGGGTGGAGTGAAAAGTACATGAGAGGCACAGCGAGGTGGCTGGGGGGGCAGTTCAAGGAAAGCCCTGTCCGCTGGGTCGAGCATCCTCGAGGCGCATCATTTCCAGGATGGAACAAAATGTCACATGATCACAGGGGGCCTTCTCAGTGGAGAAACCATCCATAATCAATAAAGTGTGACTTTGGGGCCAGAGAAAGTCCCATGATCCCGTATTTAATTCTGCATTCTTTGTCTTAATGCCCAGAATAGCACTATCCAGTGATTCTTCCCTCACACACAGGAGGTGCTGTGGTGTCCGAAGCGCGGCCAGGGCTCCGGAGAGCTGGGGAGGCCAGGCAGGGGGTCCTTGCTAATGTGGGCAGACTCAGAACAGGGCCTGGGCTGGCTCCAGTGCACACCAATATAAATACACCCTTTACGAATGGAACCCGCTCCCGGCCGCCAGGGGAACCAGCACTGAGCTCAAGTAACCTGCTGCGTGGCCTTAGGGAAGTCACCAAGCCCCGATGAGCCTCAGAAACCTTTCTCCATTAATGCCGTGATTCTATTTTTCAAATCCTTCCCTAAGAGAGTAGGGATAAGGGGGCGCCTGGGTGGCTTAGTCGGTTGAGCGTCCGACTTTCGCTTAGGTCATGATCTCGTGGTTCGTGGCTTCAAGCCCCGCATCGGGCTCTGTGCTGACTGCCAGCTCAGAGCCTGGAGCCTGTTTCAGTCTGTGTCTCCCTCTCTCTCTCTGACCCTCCCCTGCTCGCGCTGTCTCTCTCTCTCTCTCTCCTAGAAATAAATAAAAATATTTTTAAAAAAAGAGAGAATAGGGATAAGGAATGGGTTGCTGGGGCACGGGCGGTGGGGTGGGCTCAGTCAGTTAAGCATCTGACTTTGGCTCAGGTCATGATCTCACTGTTCATGGGTTCGAGCCCCACATCAGGCTGTGTGCTGAGAGCACGGAGCCTGCTTTGGATCCTCTGTGTCCCTCTCTCTCTCTTTCTCTCTCTGCCCCTCCCCCACTCTCTCTCTCAAAAATAAACATTTTTGGGGGGCGCCTGGGTGGCTTAGTCGGTTAAGCGTCCGACTTTCGCTTAGGTCATGATCTCGCAGTTCGTGGGTTCGAGCCCCGCGTCGGGCTCTGTGCTGACTGCCAGCTCAGAGCCTGGAGCCTGTTTCAGTCTGTGACTCCCTGTCTCTCTGACCCTCCCCTGCTCACACTGTCTCTCTCTCTCCTAGAAATAAATAAAAACATTAAAAAAATTTTTCAAAAATAAACATTTTTTTAAAAAGAAGAAGGGTTGCTGAGGGCACTAAAGTGGAGAGAAGAAAAGGTTTCACAGCACAGGGCAGGGAGGGGGAGTAGCAAAGAAAGAAACAGGTACAAGACATACAACCACCTGACGCGATCACGTCTGTGTGAGGAAGGGGGCCATCTGGGGCACGAGGCGTTCACATGGACCCACTTTCAAGCTGGGAGACGGACCACGAGTCACATCCGCAAGCACCTGCTTGCAAGCACTAAGTGAGGACCGCGGGAGAGTTTCTGGGGAGTTTGGGCCCCAGCGGGGAGGACACGCACACCGAGCAGGCATCGGACCCCATGGGCACGGACGAAGGCCAGGCGGAAGGATGGAGAACCGGAGGCCCCTCGCTTCACTAGGGCTGTCTGCCTGAAGTTCCTCCCGGGAAGGAGCCAGGGACCTGGGCGCCAGCTCTCCAGCCATTGTCCCCCAAAGCGAGGGCAAGTCACTGGAAAGGTTTGATGGGAAACAAATTGCAAGTATTCGGGTTCTTGCGACTCCTGGGCAGGAGAGAGCTGTGAGGCACGGTGGGGGTTGGGGGTGGGGCACCGAGGCTTCCTCGGCGCCCAGTGGGCCTTGCCACAAGTTCTGGAACTGAGAACCGTGAAGACGTAGGCGCAGCCCTGACAGAGTGCTGGGAGTCAGCTGGGTCCAGGACAGCAGGTGGCACTGAGCGACTCTGGAAAGACTTGAAAAAAAAAAAATCACAAGGCCTCACCAGTATCTAGAACCAAAAAAGGACCAGTTGACTCTGCCACTGCTGACCTTAGGGGATGGGTGTTAGTTTATAAGGAGGCAGCGATTTCTCATAATGTCAGGCGACGTCTCTCCTGAGGGCAGAGGATGGGAAGAGAAGGGCGCTGGACCTCAGCAGGGGTGTGGAGAGGCTTACAGCCCTGGGACCAGCCCTGCCCCTCTCTTCCTGAAGCACACCTGCAAACTTTTGACCCTGCCCCTCTCCAAGTGCCCAGACGGTCCACGCAGAGTGGAGGGAGGGGCTGGAACGAGAGCTGGGCCCCCGGCCATTTCCTCAGCCAACCTGTTACTTCCAGAGGCGGAGGGCAGCCGTCCACACTGCTGCGACCTCCAGTGACCCGGAGAAAATGTCCTTTATTAGTGGTGAAGTCTTTCTTCTTTTTATTAGAGAAAAGAACAATCATGTCTTACTTACAGGCATGCCCACACCAGCATCCCAGTATCTGCAAGGCCTGGCCCTCCGCCGCAGTAGGGGCGCTCTGCGGACGGACGGACGGTCGGACGGACGTTCTCTGCGGGAAACACAGTGACGGTGAGGAGCTAGAGGGTGAAGAGGGGTGCGTCTGGAACAAGTGAATATCTCCTCTTTCCTTCCTACCTGCTCATCCACAAAGCCCGAGGAACTGCCCAGAATGTCCACGCTAGCTCTGCTCGGCCTCAAGGGGCACTAAGGTTTCCAGCTCACTTCTCATTAGCTCCCCTAGGTAGGTGCCCAGGATGCTTTACCACAAACTCATTGAGCATAGGGAAGCTGATTTTCTGTGGAAGCTGTTAGAATCACACTGGGTGAAAAGATACCCATATACACACCTACGGATTCCCAGGCCCCTAGGCTCCCTCCCCAGCATACCCATGACACACACACCTTCTCAAAGGCCACCCGGATCTATCAGAGAGGGCCCCTCAGCCTCTCCAAGACAGAGCTTCTGTCTGCCGGAAGCCAGGCTTCCCTTCACTGAATGGTTGGCAATATGTGGATAAGGCTTTGAAGTCTGATCATTGACTACTCGTCCAAGTTCTCTGATGGATCCAGGAGCATCTTCCTGCTTAATTTCCGTCTAACCAAGTGAGGGAAAGGGATGAGGGCCTTGTAAATGTAAAGAGAATTGGGTGCACACCACCAGCTGGCTAGATGGGTGGTCCTGACCCCTCCCCCCCCCACTCCCCAACAGCTTCCTTCTCTTTGAGGTGAGACAGATGAATCTAGATGCATGAAACTGCAGCTCCAGCCTGACACAGGGTGCTCATCCACATTTGAGTCAGCTTTAAGGGTAACCACCTCACCAGGAAGGGGCACCGGCTGCCACATGAAAGAACTTGCAGTCAAACAGAAAGTCTTTGGGTTAAAATTGCGTGGGGTTTTTGATATTCATCTCTGGCCCTCTAATCTTACGTAACTTTTGCCTTTACCTTTGGGTCACAGCATTGAGTTAAATACAGTGTAAGGTCTAAAACCAAGAAGAGGGTTGAAATCGCTGCTCTTAAAAGGGGTGGCCTTGAATTTTGAGAGGGGCCAGAACCCCTCCCCCCCCCCCCGAAGCCTCTGGTGAGACAAGGGTCTGAAAAAGGGAGCGTCTGGCCCACGAGGCCATCTACTCTCAGTCCTCTGTTCAGAGAACCTGCGCCACTCTCCTCTCCAGCGAGCAGGTTTGAGCTTGGCTTCTTCAGGAATTGCCCCGACCTTGAAAGTGTTTCTTTGTTACTCTTATACTGAAGAATTCGTGTTGCATCGCAGGCTGTGATAAAGCGTGTTGTGGGCCAGAGCACACACGTTTTAGGGGTTTTTGTTTTGTTTTTTAAGGTCAAGAAAGAAAGAAAATCATTCAGGGACACTCTCGGTGGCCACTCAGACAGGTGAAGGACCCAGGCTTTGAAAGGGTTCACACTCGCCCTTTAACGCCCATGCCCTCCCTCCGGACGGCTCCGGGACAGACCGTTCATTTGACTCCTTTTGTATCGGGTTTTATTGCTCCGATCCCCTAGGGTCTCGATTTGCTCTCCGAAGAGACGTGCCCCACTGAGCCGCTCTCCGAGGCAGCCCCTGCAGGGTCCCCATCTACTTCTCCCCCGCGGGGTAAAGGAAGGGAGGGGAGACCTGCCGCGGCTCGCGACTCGGCGCCGAGCCTGGAATGCGTGGCAGCTGCACCGCGTCGCCTCCCCCACCCCACCCGCGCGCACTGTGCAAACTTTACAGGAGTCCCTGGCAAGTGCGGGGGTGGGGGCAAGACCCAGCGAAACCCGGGCGGGAGGCGGGCGAACGCAGCCACCCGGAAGGCCCAGGCTGCGGGCGCTGTCTGCCCCGCCCCCCGCCCGCAGTCCGCGCCGCCGACGCGCACCCACGGGACCTTCGGTGGCTGCGAGAAGACGCCTGGCGCCGCGCCCCAGCCCCCCGCGCGTAAAGGCCCAGCTTTGCGCGGCGCGCAAGGGACGCGGGGCGGGCGCGGCGGGCCGCAGTTACCCCTGGAGGCCCGCGCCCCGCAGGTACCCGTCAGAGGAGCGGGCGCGGAGGGACCCGGGGGGCCCCAGGCCGCGCGCGCCCCGCCCCCTCTTCGCCCCAGGAGCTCCCACTGGGAGGAAAGCCGCCCGGGCACCGGCGCCGCCGACAGGGCCTCCCTGCCCCCTCCCGCCGGCACCCCGCACTCGGTGATTGGCTGGCGCCGCGGGTCCCTGGCACGCGCCTGTGGATGTAGTTATAAGAATCCTCGCGTGCCGGCCCTCAGCCCCAGCAAGTCGGCCACAGCCCTCCCCGGCGCAGCGCGGGCGCGGGCCAGAGCGCAGCGGCCGCGGACACTGCGGGGAGGCCGGGGGCGGGCGGCGGGCGGGCGGCGCTCACCGCCTGGGGCGCGCCACCCCGGAGGGAGGGGGCCGCCCTCCGAGCCCGACCCGCACCGTCCGACGCGCAGAGACCGTCCTCAGCCCCCTCAGGCCCGCGGCGGCACGGAGCATGGACGCGGTGCTGCTGGAGCACTTCCCCGGGGGCCTGGACGCCTTCCCGTCTCCTTACTTTGACGAGGAGGACTTCTTCACCGACCAGTCCTCGCGGGACCCGCTGGAGGACGGCGATGAGCTGCTGGCGGACGAGCAGGCGGAGGTGGAGTTCCTCAGCCACCAGCTGCACGAGTACTGCCACCGCGACGGGGCGTGCCTGCTGCTGCAGCCCGCGCCTTCCGCGGCCCCGCACGCGCTCGCCCCGCCGCCCGCGGGGGGCCCCGGCGTGCCGGAGGACTGCGGCGGCTACTGCTGCGACGCAGGGGCGCCCCCCGGCGGCTTCCCCTTCTCGCCCGGCTCGCCGCCCGCGTGCCTGGCCTACCCGTGCGCGCGCGCGGCCGCGCTGTCCCCCGGAGCGCGGCGGCGCGGCCTGAGCGGGGCGGCGGCGGCGGCGGCGGCGGCGGCGGCGGCGGCGGCGGCGGCGCGGCGGCGGCGGCGGGTGCGCTCGGAGGCCGAGTTGCTGCAGCTGCGGCAGGCGGCCAACGTGCGCGAGCGGCGGCGCATGCAGTCCATCAACGACGCCTTCGAGGGGCTGCGCTCGCACATCCCCACGCTGCCCTACGAGAAGCGCCTCTCCAAGGTGGACACGCTGCGCCTGGCCATCGGCTACATCAACTTCCTCAGCGAGCTGGTGCAGGCCGACCTGCCGCTGCGCGGCGGCGGCGCGGGCGGCGGCGGCGGCCCCGGCGGCGGCGGGCGCCTGGGCGGGGACAGCCCGGGCAGCCAGACCCAGAAGGTCATCATCTGCCATCGGGGCACCCGTAAGTGCGTCCGCAGCCCAGCTCGGGGAGACGGGGACGGCCGCGGGAAGGCCCCGGAGGGGCTGGGTGAGCGGATCCATGGGCGGAGCGACGGACGGTTAGAGGGTCCGTCGGCTCCCGCGACCTTGAGCACGAGCTGGCGTCTCGCAGGGTTTTCCTGCCACTTGACCGCGGCTGGGAGGGCGTGCGTCTCCCGCAGACTTGCGGCTCCGGGGATTCTGGGGAGCGGGCTCTGGGGGCTCGAGGGGTGGAGGAAGCGGGGTCATTCTAATAAAACCTGGCCGAGGCGCCCAGGAGGGGATCCGATCCTAAAGGACCAGAAAGGGCATCTCTGAGAATAGAGTTGGACGTTCATGGTGTGTTTTCTCTTCTCACCTCCTCAGGGTCCCCCTCCCCCAGCGACCCGGATTACGGCCTCCCTCCCCTTGCAGGACACTCCCTCTCATGGACTGATGAAAAGCAACTCAAAGAACAAAATATCATCCGAACAGCCAAAGTGTGGACCCCAGAGGACCCCAGAAAACTCAACAGCAAATCTCCCTTCAACAACATAGAGAACGAACCGCCTTTTGAGTTTGTGTCCTGAGAAATCCCAGACCCGCCTGAGGATCTGATTTGGTCTCTGTGCATATTGTACATGTAAATATCTATAATGTAATTTAAGAATCACATTTTTCTAAAGGCAATCAACTGTTTGTTATTTATCTATTTATTATCCTGTCGAGTTAATGAAATAGACGATCTCTTTTTAAGTATATAATTTATATAATTTATCCTGATTTCTCTAAAAATATGCAATAGCCTGTGATTCCCCCCTCCCCCTCCCTCCCGACCTTTGGCCGAACTCTGCGTTGTTGGAAGAACTCTGGCCGGACAACTTCATGCTAATTTATTGCCAGATATGGTTTATTTCTAAGCGATGTCAATAAATGCTATTTACACCTTTTTCTAAAAGTTACTTGCTTACTACACGATGGGGTGGGGGTTGCTCTCTTTTTAAAAAGAAGTATTAACTTTGTAAAAGATAACTGAACCAGGCATGCGAAGTGTAGCTATCTAGCAAGAAACCACATAGATTTTAGCTGAAAGTGGGTGAGTAAGAGGGTTAGGCCCCACCTTTCTAAGAGGGCCTTCATCTGCATCCCTTCCCCAGAATAGTAACTTAGGCCTTTATTTAACCTACCCTCCAAACACCCTGTGAGGCAAATGGACATGGCATGTTTATAACTCCCATTTCTCAGAGGGGAAAGTTAGAGCTCAGAGACGATGTTTGACTTACCGAAGGTCACCCCTACCCTGTCTCACCATAGTGCTTGAAATGAGCGAGTTGGGTCCAGTGGGAACAGGAAGCTAGTTTCTGGGCTGGCTAAGGGAGGGGGTCATAGTGCTCCCGCGGGCTGGGGAGAAAGGGGTGCTCTTGAGCTCCCCTGTGACCCATCCCACCTGTAGTTACAGCATCAGGTGTGTGGACCTGAGTACTCCTTTCAAAGGAGACAAAGTAGACCACGATGCTGAGGCCGGGAGACCCCTGGATGCCTCCAGATAAAATCCGGGGTCTTTTAGGTAAGGCGAGGAGGCGGGCCGCTCCCCCCGCCACTTCTGCAACAGTTACTTTTGAAATTGACTTCGTTTTGTCTCCAGTAGAATCTCGTCTTGCTTGGCAAGCAGCCTGGGGAGAAGGCGAGCCTCGCCAGAAGGGAGCGGGATCGCCCCCTAGCGAAGGGGAGAGGCGCGAGGACGCACGGCCCGGGTCGCTCGCCCGGAAAGCCCTGGAAACCCGGGCCGTGGCTGGTCTCCCGAGAGGCAGCCCTGCGCCTTCTAGGCTCTCGGGTAGCCCTCTGCTCTGAGCCCGAGGCCCCGCGCGCGCGGCGGGCGCGCGCCTTCTAGCTTGGCCTGGCCAAGGCGAGCTCCCCACCCCCACCCCCACCCCACCCCAACCCCCGCCTCCCGGCAGCGCCTTGCTCAGCCAAGGTACAGTCTCGAGTCTCCCCCGGTACCCACGGCCCTGCCGCGGGACAATATGTCGGCAGCATGCTAATTGCTTTAACCTAGTTTCAGACCCACCGAGGGGTTCCTCGCGCGCCGCGGGTGCCATGGACCTCGTCCAAGTGCAATTAAAGCGAGGCCGCGAGGCCGACCCCGAAGCGAGGCCTGGCCAGACCCGTGGAGATTCTGGGTCGCGAAGCTCCCAAGAAGCCCTTGGTCATGGACCTTCTCACCCCTTTCAGCCTACGCAGCTTCTCCCGTCCCTCCCCCTAAAAGATGGAGGTTTCACACCGGAGACAGAATTTGGGAACGAGAGAAAATAATTCGATTTCGTCCTGTAATCGAGCCCCATTAAACATGAAAGTTGCTTGGGCACAAATGCTTCTATCAGGCATGTAATCTCATTACACTCATTAGAAAGTCAAATGTTAGGCAGACTTCAACTTCATTATAAGTTAGCTAAGTACTGTACCGTATTCTTGGTCTGTGTAGACCTGCGTTTCAATCGGGTTGGGTAATGTGGCACGCCGCGGTTAAAACACTACAATCATTGTGATGTGGCACCTTTTATTTTGAGTGCCACTTGTTTTGTGTGATTCAATGCTTCAACACATCCTTTAGTGCGGTGCAGATGAAGCGGAAGAGCCGGGCTGAGCATGTAAAACACCAGGGTCTCTATCTTGTCACTCTTCTGTCCTGACTTGGCAAGTCCCTTTAAACACAACCTTCAAAGAGACTGACAGCTTCTTTTTATTTACTCATAATCCATTCATGCTAGTGTAGCAATTCTTTAAAAAAAAAAAAAAAAAAACGGCGGCAGTAAAAGCAGAACAAAGGTATCATTTCAGAGTCTCCTTTGGCGTCAGAGAGGCCCGAGCTGCGCTTGGTGCACGAATGGTCCTCCTCGGGTAAGCGCCAGGCTGGAGAGCCTCTGGCCAGGGGCAACTCTGGCCAGAAATCCAGCCTGGCACTGGAAGGATCAGTGTGGGGGTGGTTTGAGTGATGGGTATTCAGCGGTCCTTCTAAGCCCACACGTTTCTTCCAAATTTAAAAAGAAAAAAAAAAGTTCCCTATGAAAATCATTGGGTAAGCCAAACCCTAGGATGGCTGTGGACACCCTTTGCTCAGCCTTGTCCTTCAGAGCACCTGGCAGCCTCAGGTTGAATCCCAGCCTGGGACCCCCAGGGGAAAGAGTTTCAAGTCCACACCGGCCGGCCTTAGTCCATTTAGCATAATAAAGAGGCTGCAAACCCAGCACCGGGTACATTTCCTGATCTCCACTGGTGAGCTGGCTAAATCTTTCTCCAGGGGTCTAGACTGCGCTGCTGGGGACTGTGGAAGGCGGGAGGACCTAAGAGGGTTTCCAGAAGACTTCTGAGAAGAGAGTTTGGGTGAGGTGCCCTCCTTTCCCCCAACGCCTCACCCCCTCCTGCCAAATACAAATCCTCAATTCCAACTTATTCGACGGCCTTCTTCCCAGAGTGCATCGCCCTGGGCCGTTGGCATCGGAGCACCAATGACTCTACTCAGTAAAAGCTCATCCCTCTGTCCCCT